AAATTAGGCTAAGTAAGCTTCAGTGGTATCTGGAAGCCAAGTCAAATCACGGTGTTAAAAATTACACCGTTTGCCCTCTGATCACTTCAAACTACCTAGAATGAAGATTTTATTCAAAAATTACTGATTCTTTCGAAGTGTCCTCGGAAAGGAATTTGTCCTCTCTAGCCAAGTGTTTTCTCCTCTTAACTCAAAGGCTATAAACTGACGAGTCACTTCGGATTATATAAGTACTGCTGACAAAATTAAAGCTAAATTGACCTTCTAGATCTAATCAATCATCCACACATTCTTGTCACTAAGATGAGGCTGAATGAAAGTGTGTATCCTTAAAAGCGAAAGAATTTCATCAAACTCTCGATAACGAAAAAGACTATTAACTAACTCACTTGGGCCAGTGATCCGGCAGCGGTCAGTGACTGGCCACGTAAGCGATATCTTCTCTGTCACTTCAGAGACCTCGACGCAAAGGTCACATGCCTTATTTGACTCAACTGCTGCTTTATGTTGTTGGTTCACTGCCTTACACGAAGAAAGATCAACTCTATAACCAAGTTTTCCACCGGCTCCGTGGTCATCGGAAAAGGCAACAGAAGACTCGATTTGACGAGGAAAATGTTTATATCGCTCCTCATGCCATTGGCATTGAAGATTATGCTGTTGGGTATGAATATAATTGTGATCGAGACGTGCACGAAGATGGTGTGGAGAAAAAGCACGTTTGTGGATAGCTGAGGCCTTGGAGAGCACAGCACTCGAACCGGAAACATGCTGGCCAGTGGGGACACCCGGCGCAGCTGTGGAGCCAGAGTAAACAGTTTGGGCATGTGGTGATTTTGGAGTAGTTGTCACTGTTGTGGCCAGGTCTGCAGCATAGTCCCACTTAAGTGGGCTAGTTTTAGCATCTCGATGCGACTGGGACCTACGCAGGCTGGTGGCATTGGGTTGGGGTGACAAATGGGAGGTAAAGACGAATAATATACCAAACTTAAGCAAAATAAAGATATGAAAGCAAAGATGGTGTTGTCCTTATTTTGGTTGCTGCATATAATTTGTCTTATCTCACTTTCTCATCTTGGTCGCGGAAACCGAGAGAACTGGATAAAAGTGTCTTGTACGGATTTCATGACTATATCTAACATCGAGCCGTTGAACTAGAACATTCCCAGACGTTTGGTTGGCATCGAAAATAAACATAGCCGTCCTTGGCAGAGGAAAAATTAATCAAAAAGACAAAAGAAGTTCGTCCCTTGTCCAACTTTCAGCTCAACAAAAACCTTATTTTAGGTATCTATAGCATCTTGATCAAACATTATCATGTATTCTAAAGGAATAGGACTTTGATAATATCAGTAGATCATAAATAAATGTATTATTCATCCTAGGTGGCTTAAGGTTGTGCAAAATTGATAGTGAATTTTCTCACAATGAGATGAGTTGACCTCAAGAGAACATTAAATTTTACTTATCTTCACATTTAAAGGGTATCCTCATCTGAGGATGACTTATGCCCTTATTAAAGATCCACAGGTAGTCTTAAAATCCTACTCGAATGGAATACAAGCAACACTGTAGACTGTAATGGCAAATAAATGTTGGATTAGGCTGCAATTCCACTATAAAAATGTCCTATAGAGTAGCCTAACTTGCTTTGAAGTTCAGTTATATTCAGTGGACGACTGGCACTCGTAAGAATGTGGCGTAATGGTAACCTGTCAACAGTCGGGTTCGATTCCCACTGAGGGTGTTGACGAGATCTAGACAGGGTTGAAAAGTCTTTTTAGGAATAAGGCTAAGATAAATTCAGTGGCATTGAGGCATACTCATTTTATCTATGGAGAAGTTACTATCAAACAATTATCAACTTAAGCGATCTATGGTGACTAAGCCTCTTATATGTAAGGGTAACGAGTTAGCGTTAGCCTATTTCATTTTAAGGTGAAGGACTAACAGTTGCATTTTCCCATTATTATACGGGAAGAAATGACATATTTATTAAATTTTACATAGCTCTGCTTTCCCAAAAGGTGTTCTCACCCAGAGTGGACTTCAGTTTCGACCTCTCATAGGTTTTAACAACACCCCAAGTGGGAGTCGAACCATCGCAATACAGCGTGTAAGCTCGACACGTTAACTACAAAGAAACATCGCCATTAGTGCAATTTGGTCACAGGGCAGATGTGAATTACAAAAGGGCAAATAGTCTGAAAATATACCAAGTTCATGGTATGAAGCTGGAAACTATAAAGGGTACTATGACAGAGGGCTACGGATAAGATGAATTCATCAAGACCCCATAGGCAATACGACCAAGTTGCTGGCCATTTAAAGTCTACTTAGTGGTTAAGCAATTAGTAAAGCATTCATAAGATGAAATTAATGATAATTTAATATATAAATTTACGCCACGTTGTTGAAGTATCGCAAAGGAGGTGAACCAGACGAGAAAAGGGTGCCAACAGGAGGATGTAAATTCGAAAATCTCCTACACAAGTTATCACCAGAACTGGACTCATCGCCTCCAGAGGCTGCAGGGCGCTGTAAAGTGTCGGCTGCGCCAGTCCTCTTAGCTGATGAGCCAAGTGAGGCAGCACAAAAGTGAGGTTGAGTGATGAGTGATTCGAGAGTCGCTTGAGCATGGTCTGGTAGTGCCGGCAAGCTAGAGGCTGGAACCAGATGGCGGTTATAGAGGTGGTGGCTGCAGTCAACCGATTGGCTGCATTCTATTACTAGGCTGGGTATACAGGTATGTGGGTTTGGGCAGCAAAGGCTTTCTGAAGAAACTGGTGAGGAGGTTCTAGACAGCTATAAAAGATATTAATTTTATGTGCGATATAAACACGAAAAGAACAATAAATATTTTTGGTAAAAATAAACATAAAAGTGAACTCGAGAAGTTGATTTCAATTATGATGGAGAATTGTTTTTTAATCGCTAAAGAGATGATACTATACACCAAGGCATAGATGTATAGAAGAAGAGGACTTTCATTTTGTATGCAAGTTCATGATGAATATATTCGTAGGTCAATCTCATCAGAAGACGTCGGCAGCCGTTTGGCTTTAATACGGCTTTAAGGTTGATGCAGTCTAGGAGACATGCTCCAGCGTTTCGGGCGAAGACAGGCTGAGCTTTCGTCCGTCCTATGACGAACATCGTCGGAGCTGGGATCATTCTTGCATATGCTCAAATCAACACTAAGTTAAGAAGACTGACAAGCTTTTTTCGATATGATATAAATACTTATTGCGAGGAAAATTTAATATGCAGATGTATATAGAAAGGATTGGTTAATTCACGTATAGTCGGGGGTGTCTGTTTGTTAACGTGGGTACGCAAAATCGATTATAAGTCAGAACAATAAGAAAAAAAAATTACATCAGTCTCGAGTCATCAAGGCATAATGGCCCAAGGAGAATAGAATAGAAAAAACGATGACCGTGATTATGTTAGTCCGACAGTAACCCGGGTTAAATTGATAAGATGTAAGTCTGTGCACGTGAAAGTCAGGTTACGAAGCCCTCATTCCGAATCTGTTAGTATTGGGTTATTAAGGTTTAATAACTCAAAGAGAAGCTTGGCTGATATTGCGTAGCCTCGCACGCCTGTTTCGTATGATGAGCTTGACATGTCTGTTTAACGATTACTAAATTGGTTAGAAATATCATTCAATTGGCAATTCTAGTCGTCTTCTTTTGAACGACAGCTCAACATACTCTCTATCATTCAATCTCTGAATCAACATAAGTAATTATTCGAAGGTATAAAGATCAAGATGGTGTGGCCTTTTGTGTGGTTTGACCGTGTTATCGCTACTTGGTCATATTGGTAGGAAGACTTAGAGGAACGCACCTAGTCCGGAGTCCATTGTATGCATGATACTTTCCAAACTAGAACCGTGGATGTGGTACATTCCCAGACGTTTCACAGGCATCTTAGTCGGCATATTCAGTTAGTCTGGCCATTCTTAGCACCACACAATAACTCGTCAAAAAAACAAGTGAAGCCGATCCTTTGACTAAATGTGTGCTAAACAGTTGTGGTATCTCACCTTCTGCCCTTATCTATTCACATTTCCAATATCCTCCTATAACTCCTTCACTATTACAATTTTAACGTTCTTAGTTCAATGTAGTGTAATGTGTTCCTTTGAGCGGCATTCATAAACACCCTTTACACTCCGCGCTGTCATTCTCACCCCTTTACAATTGTGCTGGGAATGTTGATCAGCATCTT